TGTGTGTGATTATGTATTTCTGCACCATAGTAGGACTATATTCTTTACCCACCCCCCACTAGAAACCTGAGCCAGGAAACAAGCCAAAGCAATTTCCTCCCAGGCACATAGAAAAAGAACAAAAAAAAAACTAAATTAGAATATTCTCACTTTTTTGAAGAGCACCTTTTGGCTCTTGCTTTCAGGCTTTAACCCATGCAAACTTAGGTTCTACGACAATTTTTTCTTTTTTTTGGCTGCTCAGATCTAACATTTATTGAGTTTTTATTCAGTGCCAACACTTCTGCTGGGTGCTTTGACATGTTATTTCATTTAATTTCACAACAATCCTATGAGGTAGGTAGTAATATAATCCCACCTTTACAAGTAAGAAATGGAGGCTCCAAAAAGTTATTTGATCATCCAAACTACTAAGTGGCAGAATCACAACATGAACCCAAGTCTCCTAATTCTGAAATCTATGTTTTCTCCACTAAAGTACACTGATTTTGCAAGAAATATCTCAATTCTTAATTGAAATATTCAAGTGTTCCTTAAATGAATTTAATTTCTTATGTTAATTTGTTTTAGTAATACATTTCCACAAGTAATGACTTCACTACTGATAAATCTATCCGGCCATTGTCCTAAATGCATAGAAAACAAAGGCACAGAAAGATAGGGCTGCATTAATAGTCCTGGTGAGTTTTTTGCTAAGTATAAACTACAGCACTCACATTCTTTTTTTGTTTCTTTTAAGCATAATTGAATTTTATTTTCTTTTTATATAGAAAAAGAAAAAACTGAAATTTACACATTATTACTGAACACCAGCACATTTTATTATTGATGATTTGAGATAAGTTTGCTTTGTAAGTTAAGACTGAAGGTTAACACACTGAGAATGAGCACTGTAAGCAGATATAGAGAGGGTGTGTGTGTGTGTGTGTGTGTGTGTGTGTGTACTGTAAATATATATATAATATATAAATATATATTTATATATTATATATATATATAATAATCTTTTAAGAAAGGAAACAAAGAAATTAGCTCCCATGTTAAATATCAAATATCAGGCTTAAACTGGCCTAGTACATAGTTTTCTAGGATTTATGATTATGATTCACTAAAGTTATATGACTTACTAATGTAAAGACCTCAAGCTGTTAGACATATTCTCAAGAAGGAAAAAACAAATGAAAAACAAACAAAAATAACCTACAACAACAAAAAAACAGTGAACTTAGTATACAGCCCTGTACATAATAAAATGTTTGGCAAATGTTTGTTAAATGCAAAGATCTTCAAGAGTTACTGTGATGCTGGTAGCCAGCCCAGGTATCTACCCTCTCTAATTAGCTACAACAAAGCCTGCTCTTTTCTGTCTCCTGAGGTCAGCCCTTTGGTGAGAAGGGAAGAAAGGTGCACAATACGAAACAGCTTAAGTGGAATACTGACAAGAGGGAAAAAGAAGCCAAATATACAAAACTAAGAATCTAATTTATCTTATGCTACCCAAGTCCCCTCCAAATCTGAAAAGGCAACTGCTCCCAGGCACTCAGAAATGGGAGGAAAGGATTATTGTTTGGGTGAGGTGATTGGCTGGAAAAAGCCCTGAAATATGTTTCAAAATATTCTGGACTACTGCATTCCTGATTCAGGTGGTATATTAAACAACAATGTGCATGTGTCTGCTCTTTGCCTTATTTGATGACATTAACAAAGCAGCCAGTCTAGCAGTAAAGCTGAAGTATCTCTGGAATAGGAAGGGAAGAAGGGGAAAGGGAAAAATCTTCAAACCTTTGAATTAATTTTACTATTTTTTTTTTTTTGCGGTAAGCAGGCCTCTCACTGTTGTGGCCTCTCCCGTTGCGGAGCACAGGCTCCGGATGCGCAGGCTCAGCGGCCATGGCTCACGGGCCTAGCCGCTCCGCGGCATGTGGGATCTTCCTGGACCAGGGCATGAACCCATGTCCCCTGCATCGGCAGGCGGACTCTCAACCACTGTGCCACCAGGGAAGCCCTAATTTTACTATTTTTATAACGTGCATCAGGGTCATTTGCTGTAGTCCTGATTGAAAAATGTATCAGTAATCATCAAGTCATTGTTTTAGTAAATGTGTAAAAGTCATTTGTTACTGTTATTCAGGATGTAACAATAATGACTTTACCTTTAAAACAGTAGATGGTACTGTGAACAGATTGTCACAGGGAATTGCCAAGATATAGATCAGTCTGGGAGCTGGTGGCAGGAAATTAGAATGAGATACAGAGCAAAGTGTCAACAGCAGCAAGTGTGCATATCTGCCATTTTTTATCATTTTTTTTTTAAAGCAGTGAAGAGGAGACCTGGATGAACAGATCTCTAGAAAAAAGAGAGGAAATTCCTGCAGAATGTATATAGAATAGTGGAATTGGATTCACAAAAGGAGACATCATCTAATGGAGTTAAGTTCAAGTCTTTTCAAACTTGAACACATGCAAAACATTAATCCAACGTTAGATTTTTAAAAAATGTGTAAGTAATTTCAAATTAATTGTATAAGGCTGTCTTAGCAATTATCATTTATGTTTTTATATATAAAATGACAAATATATTAAGCATGCATTCAAAGTAATTTATTCAATGTTCTAATATTATTCTTTAAACAGATGAAGGAAATCAGAAGTTAACACTTAGAAAACGTATGTCTCCCTATGTAAAGAATCAAGATTTCAGTAGAAAACAGTATCATAGAAGACAGCCACGATTCAGTTAGTATGAAGCCAAGATTGCTGAGAAGGTGCAGTTCATGAATCAAAATTAAGGGTAAAATCAGGAAATTGAATGACTAATACCAGAGAGAGGAAAGGGTCTTTGAAGGAACTAAGCAAACATGATCTTGGATAGATTATCTCGGCACATGGCTTTCAAAGGAAAGGACAATGGTTAGGAAAATAATGAAAAAAAGGAAGACCATGAAACAAGATGAAACTCTGAGATAATGATGGAAATAACCTGAAGAAATGTCAATTTTAACCTCTGTTCTACAACCACAGTTTAAAAGATTTTATTTTAGATGATGGTGATTATTATTATTAAAACAAAACTTATGCTAACTAGAACAACTTTACCACTGCTTTCTCATTCTCAAGTTCTCTATTGGATTCATTTCTGGTTAATTAGTTTCACCTTCTCTTGGAGTTTTAGGTTTGTTTTTTTTTTTAACATTTATATTGGAGTATAATTGCTTTACAATGGTGTGTCAGTTTCTGCTGTATAACAAAGTGAATCAGCTATATGCATACATATATCCCCATATCTCCACCCTCTTGCGTCTCCTTCCCACCCTCCCTATACCACCCCTCTAGGTGGACACAAAGCACTGAGCACTCACATTCTTGAGGAGAAAAGGCAAAGTTGAAAAATAGGTAAGGTGATGAAACTGAGTTTAGACGAAGCAGTCTGTGGAACATCTCTGGGGCTGAAGGTGCTGTAAAGGGAGAGGGAGTGAAAGTGGGTGAAGGACAAATGTACTATTTGAACCAAAGGGAGAGAAACTTTTATCTCAGCCATTAGTTGCTTTCAAGGACAATTCCAAGTATAAATGTGCCAATTTTCAGTCATCTCCCCACTTCAGGTATGGAAAGGTCTTCTAATAGTACTTCTTTTCTCAATGCGACTGAATCACAGTTTTCCTCCTCCCCCAAAAGAGGGTCCACAATTACCCTCTTTCTCCTACACACACTTTTTGGGATTTCCTAGGAGGATATAAAGACTGTCTTTTAAAAAATTGCTTTTCCTAGCTCCCCAAGATGTTGATCTTTTTATTCTTTCACACCTATAGCTTGAACATCCCCCCAGCTGTAGATAAAGATGTACCTCCCAAGTTTTTTGGAATCACCATCTCTTAAACTGCTACCCTATCTTCTGAGTTCTTCACTTCTGTTATGCCTTTTCTGTCAGTCTTCTAGTTCTACTTCAGTTGATGACTCCAGTTCTCTGGTTGTCCCAAAGGATTCTGATGAGAAACCAAAAAAGTTCAGAAGAGTTGTACTAGTTTCCATAGGCTTCTGGAAAGATAGGTCAACAAATGTAAATTTATTATAAAGCATATATGCTCAAAGAAATCTCTTATGGCACCACTAATCAAAATATCAAGAATAGGGCTTCCCTGGTGGCGCAGTGGTTGAGAGTCCGCCTGCCGATGCAGGGGACGTGGGTTCGTGCCCTGGTCTGGGAAGATCCCACATGCCGCGGAGCGGCTGGGCCCGTGCGCCATGGCCCCTGAGCCTGGGCGTCCGGAGCCTGTGCTCCGCAATGGGAGAGGCCACAACGGTGAGAGGCCCGCGTACCGCAAAAACAAAAACAAAATATCAAAAATATAGTTACAAAGGAGTAAGATCAAAAAAACCAAAGCTAGATTTGTAAAAGAGAATGGGAATAGCAGAGGAAGGCTTCCACAGCTGAGTTATTGTCATCTAAAAATTAAGTAACTATGGGTTCCTATTTGTAATTGTCACATAAAAACTTGGGCTAAAGGCCTCTTCCCAAAGCTTTTCCCTTTCCAAAAAAGAAAAACATTTCCCAGCTCTAAAACAAGATAGGGAGGGAGCACCAGGAAAGTAAAAAGACCTTTCCATACTCTGTTAATTTTATATTGGTTCTTAAGGTTCCAAGCCTACTAAATGAAAAAGTGTTATGGCACTTGTATCTCAAATTTAACTCAGTTTTAAATATCATCAGTCTCGTATAATTTTTAAAATTTATCTTAAGGTATCTGCAAAGTGAACAGTGTTTCTAACACATGGTGAGATTAGGTACTTCAGTCAATAAGAAAAGCAAGAAAGCAATCATTTATTATTTGGGGCTCTAAGGAGGTCATTAGGCACTAATTTTAAATTAATACAATTTGCCACTTTATAGAGGCTAGAAACATAATTCAAAATTTCATAAAGGTATATCAAATTAAAACCACTTTAGATAGTTCAAGATCTCACTGACAAAGTTCATTTAAGGTGACAGTTTTGCTACTGTGTTACTGTTCCCACATGATATCATCTCTTCTCAATTTCATTTGAAGATTATGGACTCGTATTGGACGAAAGTTGCTGTTCTTTTGAGGAGAGTTAGTTAGCAAATATTTTCTGGGGCTATTTTTTATGTTCTTTGATCCTTTACAGTTGCTATCTTCTTTCTGAATAGCTGAAGCTTCACTCATCTTCAAATTCTGAACTTTTTGCTGCAGTTTGCGGACCTGGAGAGAAAAAAAATCTAACATTTTAGTCAAAAATATACTTAAAATATACCTTACAATAGATGGATTGGATTGATGGTTTAAAGATTACGTGAAATTAAAAAGTTCAGTAAGTCTTTATTTATTGAATACCTATTACATGCCTAACACTGTGCTAGTTAGACAGAAATATAATGAATAAAACAATCTTTGCTTTCAAGGAGTTTACTGCTCCTATTAATGAAATCAAAGCATATATGTGACAACTAGAGAATAATTCAAGCCACAATAACTTTTTTTTTTTTTTTTTGCGGTACACAGGCCTCTCACTGTTGTGGCCTCTCCCATTGCGGAGCATAGGCTCCGGACGCGCAGGTTCAGTGGCCATAGCTCACGGGCCCAGCCTCTCTGCGGCATGTGGGATCTTCCCAGACCGGGGCACAAACCCATGTCCCCTGCATCGGCAGGCGGACTCTCAACCACTGCGCCACCAGGGAAGCCCCACAATAACTTTGAGTAGGACAAAAAGTATATATCTGAGAAGGCTAAAAGTAGGACAAGATCAATGTGGGCTGGAGAAGCTGAGAGGAAGGAATGTTTATGTAAGATATGAAATGGGAAAAATTTGGAGAACAGGGAGGTGAGAGAAGGACCTTTCAGGTGACATTAACAACAAAGCGAAGATTTGGTGCTAGGAATGAACATCAAGTTTATAGAGTCTCTCTCTATATATATATATTTTTTAATTTAAAGTATTCATGAATTTTAAGTACTACTGAATGCCAGTTTAAAAAAAAAGGCAAAGGAATAATTTTATCTCATTGAGGAGTATCTAGTAATGATTGGGTAGATAGAATTAAACAAAACAAAACTTATAAATTAGTCAAAACCTATTTCTTCAAAGTCCAGTCCATTACTCAATCTTTTAAAAAATTTTTAATATTTATTTATTTAATTAAATTAATTTATTTATTTTGGCCAGGCCACATGGCTTAGCTCCCCAGTCATGGATCCAACCTGTGCCCCCTGCAGTGGAAGTGCAGAATCTTAACCACTGGACCGCCAGGGAATTCCCTCCATTACTTAATCTATTTCACTTAAGCACAGCCTAATTTGTAGAGCTGGTCTAGACATTGGCTAAGTATCTGGTGTTCTATTTGTCTAAAAATGCTTGAAAATTTATACTGCTATAGTTATTATGGAATATAAATAATATTTTTCAAAATATTATTTATGTACACACTTCCTAAATTAAAAAAAAATATGAATATTCTTCTATTCCTTTCAAGTTTCTCCTGTGTGATTCTAAGAAAGTATACAAGTCATATAATCTTCACCCTAACACAATCATACAAAAAATTTACTTACTATAGACTTAAAAGCCAGTAAAGTGAAAATGTTTGCTTCAAAATTTCATTTCCTTCTTTCTTTCTTTATTGGCCACAGAAAAGTAAAGGCAGTAAAATTCTGCATTCTTTATTACTTTCCTATAAAAGTGGGGAAGGCTTAATTGTGAGGTTAATATATCACCAACTTATATGAATGCTGATTATTCCATAGGCAGATAGCTACATGATATGACCTGAGGGTTCCTGGAAAGATTCCCTCTGTTTTCTGTTCCAGTAGCATAATCGTACTAAGAATTGAGTCATTGTCTTGGGATAAAATATAATATTCCATGATTTTTTCATTAAAATATTAAAACTGTTATGCCATTCTTAGCTGTTAAGAATTTACACACAAGGATAGAGTCCCCCTTATCATGCTTCTAGAGCTAGCTGAGCACAGGTCCCCAGGGAATGGAACACAGCATAGCTTGTTCTGGGAAACTGGAAATAGCAGTTTTAGAGTTGGGGTACTGCTTCAGAAGCCAGGTTTATATATGCATTAGACACCTGTTGACATAAGGGGCTTCATTAAGGCATTAGGGAAGAGAGGGATAAGGGGAAAGAATGCTAAAAGGATAACTGGGAGAGCTGTAAAGCAAATCTAGCCTACCTCTTAATTTTCCCAAACTTATTTTTGAATACATAACTAAACTTTCTTTTCTTTTCTTTTCTTTTTTTGGCCACACCATGAGACTTGCAGGATCTTAGTTCCCCAACCAGGGATTGAACCTGGGCCCCAGCAATGAAAGGGCTGAGCCCTAACCACTGGACTACCAGGGAATTTCCCATAACTAAACTTCCTTGTTTCCTTTTCTTTGTATTATCTTGGAGAGTTACATAGGAGGCCATGTTATTTCAATGGACAGATGACTCTATAATAAGCCTAAGGGATTCCTATCTATCATCTTTTCTCTAAGCCTCAAATTTGAGAGGCTTAGATACAGGCCTCAAATTTGGAAGGTCATACAGAGATATAGAGGAGGCCATGTTATTTCAATGGACAGATGACTCTATAATAAGCCTAAGGGATTCCTATCTATCATCTTTTCTCTAAGCCTCAAATTTGAGAGGCTTAGATACAGGCCTCAAATTTGGAAGGGCATACAGAGATATAACACTGAATCCAGATACATTATCTTTTCATTAATCTTTAATTT